ACGAGCGTGCAGACGGCGTCGACGGCGGCGTTGTACGCGGCGATCATGAGCGACGTGCCCGGCGTCCAGTTGTAGGTGTTCGTGAAGAGAGCCCAGTACGCCTGCGGAGTAAAGTCGGAACATCAGCCCCGCGCTGCAGCACCAGATAAGGCAACGTACTTGGCGCAGGCCCGCGACGGCATACATGCCAGTCAACAGCGTCGGGACGGGGCCGAGGCCCGCTACGCCGGGCCCGGAAGTGACGAGGAGGTTGCTGGCGCGCAGCCCGACGGCGACGAGGCCTTTCACCGCCCAGCCTTTGCTGAACATCAGGTACTGCAGCGGCGCACTGTGCTCAAGTTGAGTCCACCGGCAGACTGCAGCTGCACAGGCTGCACACGCACTCGGATAAACGGCCCAGGACAAAGGTGGCGATGCCGGGGATGCTGTACGTTCCGACGGGCGTTGTGCGCTCGAGCGTAACGCCCGCAGCTGCGCGGCCAGTTTGTGGGAGTGGCTTCTCGTTGCCGTTGGACATAGTGAGTTTGAAGAACGTCTGGTGACTACGTGACAACCGTTACTCTATGACGTTTGACATGTGACTAAGTGTCATATGACATCTGGTCCGCGGATCGACTAAGTTAAAAGTATTCGGAAAAATCTTTACGAAGAATTTGCATGCCGGATGACGTCACACGTGGCAATAAGTGATGTTTCGATCCCGGCTGCGGTTCATAACGACGAGAGGGCCTAGCACACGAAAAGTAGAAATTCGTCTTGGCTGAACAGTGTTGCGGCTTAAGGGGTTATTAACGGTAAATATTATTGTTAACCCTTAAGACCCTTAAGAAGGCGTTAATAACGGTTAATTTCCTAAAACGGAAAGGAGGCTACATTATGAAGTAACTACGTGTCCTAGTCATTTCCAGGGTGCCCCATCGTCAGGCTCCTCATTGCTCTCCTCTGCAGTGAGAAGCTAAATCATGAGGGCCTCCTGAACTGTTTCTGGTGGGGTTTGCTGGCAACTTTTGCACCAGCAATGCGAGAGCAGGGGAAATTTCTTGTTCCATTGAAGCCACCCCTTCAGTGCACTGTCAGTGTCATTCAGAGGATCAACAGCCAGCAGGGCCCCGCATTCGGTGGCATGTTGCAGGACAGAAAAAAAGAAATGATGGACAATTATGTAATTTTACACAGCCATGTTAAGGCTTAATTAAGGGTAAACAAAATCCTTGTCCATTGTTAAGGGTTAATATTAAGCCCTTATTAACCCCGACCCTTAATTAACCCTTAACCCTTAACCGCAACACTGTGGCTGAACGTCGCCGAAACCATTGCTTTCAGAGCCTATTACGATATGGTTTATTAGAAACTTTATCTCGTCTTAGCGATCACGTGTTGATAGGCAGCCGAAAGTAATGATTTCGATTTCAACATGTGTGATTTTTTTAACTTTTACTGGTGAGTCCGGGATATACAGGCAACATTACTGGATGTCGATGGGCGCTGAGACTCTGAGAGCCCGGGGACAGCGAGTCGCCCCAATCGTATATACGGGGAGAAGTACAATTAAGACTATTTGTAGGGCTGTTGCTGTCGCGGGATCGTTCGGCAAAGGGCCGTTGATTCGAAGCTAGCACAACGTTGCGGCTCGCACATGGTCGGCAAGGTCTGCCTTCCAGTCAATATTCGAGGCAATGAAAGAGCTGCGGAGCGCGCCTGCGAGCGCTTGGAGTGATAAGAGAATCTCCGGAGATCTCGATCGAAAATGCGCAGGCACAAAAGTTTCGTCCGGAATCTCCTCTTTGGCCCGCTCGTGCGCACATACCCGGCTCTGACGGACATCGGGTTATCCGCGTTCCGAACGTTTCCGAGAGGCAGTGCCGGCAATTCACGCCGGTATGACATAAGTAAGTGGCACAGCTCTCCGCGCGCGTTCACGTGCGCCTCTTCCTTCTGTGCCCCCCGCACTTTTTCATGCAGTGCGAGTTTCCCCAGCTCCACAGCAGCAGCACACCAAGCACCATGGCAAAGTTGCAAGCCCTACGCAACCGCACAAAAAAAAAGGTTGAAAGAAAGTAGGCTGAGCGAAGACATGGAGCACGCCAGAGGCCACGTGAACTTATTAGTGTTGGGGAGGTTCGGTTCGGTCCGGTTCAGAGGCCTATTTCTCTGAACCCTGAACTTGAACCTAGGTGTGGTTTGGCCAAAGTCCCGAACCCCAAACCTGTTTTTGGGTTCGGTTCAGGTTTTCATATTAATGAAGACTTTGACTACGATCCGGCCGACTCGGAAGTTCTCCGAGACGCATGCCGGTTCTTACGAAGTTATCAGCAAGCCTTCTGCCGCATCCTATACTATCCGGTTGCCGAAGTCGTTTGCCAGTGTTCATCCGGTTTTCCACGTTTCTCAACTCGAACCTCATTTCCCTAATCTGTTCCCGGTCACGAAGAGCCGCCTCCGGCTCCGGTCAAACTAGTTGATGGGGAAGAGCACTTCGAAGGCAAACAGATAGTCAACTCCAAATTTGATCGCCGGTTCCGAACTCCACTCCGGTATCGTGGAATGGGTTGGTTATGAAAATACAGATGAGCAATACAGTTGGGTTGCAGCTAGCAATATCAATGCTGCCGAACACTTGGAAAATTTCCACTGGCGCTTTCCGAACAAACCCGGTCAAACCCGGTCCTGATTAATTCTTCCGGTGTCTTTACATTTTCCGGTTCACTCAAACTTATTCCGGTTTATCAAGAAAATTCGAAATTGCTATCTCATCACTGTCACTGTCCATCAACTCAATTACTTCAACTTCTTTTCCCTTAACCATCTCCCGATGATTGTCCACCATAATCTTCAGTGCCTCCCTCCGGGGGACTCGGCCTTCTTCCGGCTCTTCCTTCACTTCCAGCTCTACTGCCGGCCCTGCGGTCGTTTCCAGTTCCGGTATGTCTACCGGAGTGGTCACTTGCGGTTCAACCGGTGTGTCCACCAGGACATCGTGCTGCTCTTCTTCTTCAATCCCCTCTGGCAGGATCGCTGGCTCGCCCTCACCTACCGGTCTTTCTTCACCCCCGACCGGTTCCTCAACCCTCGACTCGTGCTCCAGCTGCCCGACCTCCGGAATCCCTTCTGGCTCCGGCTCTCCTTCTGGTTCCCCCATCACCACGTCCTTGCCCTCGACGTTCCGGCTCGGTCCTGGCTCCCGGGTCCAGTCTCGACGAGAGACCTGCACCAGAACTGGAATGAGTCCTAGTTCCGGCTCCGCCTTGATCTGCTGGAGGCCCGCCGCCTTCTGGCCGAGCTCCACTGCGCCACCTTGAACTCCATCGTCCCCATTTGCATCAACAGGTCATCAACAATGTGAACATGAAAATACACCTGCAACGGCGTACGCACAAAGTCACCCATGTCTGCATCAGTCGAACCGGCCGACGCAGACACCTTGTCCTTCCTCTTGTTGACGTGGGTGCGCGGCCTGGAAGCTGCAGCGCACTTTCTTCGCGTTGCAGTAGGCACAGGCGTGCCCGGCGGAAGGCTTCCCCGGTTGTGCCGTGCACAGAGCGTTGTGCCGGCGACACTCATCACAGCGGATGAAAGCTAAAGAAAATTGTTAGCCTGGTTTCCGGTCATAAAACCACTCACAAGTCGCCTCCCAAGGGTTCTCCTTCTGGCTCCGCTTTCCGGCCAGACTCTCACTCCTCTCTGGGGCCCTCCGCTTCTCCCCGGTTCCGGGCCCCCTGGTTCCGGCACTCATGCCCACCTCTCATCTCTCCTCCCGCTCATCCTCGCCGTCATCCTCGTTGCCGCCATCGTTCTCGTCGTCGTTGTTGCTGTCGTCGGTGTACGCCCTTGTGGCCTTCAGCTCGGCAATGCGCTTTGCGATGAGCACCTTCTCCGCCTCCAACTTCTCAAGGAGACGGTTGTTCTTGATCTCCGCCATCATTGCGTGCTTCTTGCCCTTGTCGGTTTTCTTGCTGGCACTTGACATGGGGGTAGAGAAGAGAGAGGTTGTCCCGGTTCCGACAAAACCTTGCGGTTCTTATACTCTGTTCCGGCACCTGGTTCTGGTTCCAACCCGAGTTACATTTTCGGCTCTGACTCGAGTTATTTTCCGGTATTTTCCGAGACTTCTTCTGGAACATTCTAGACTTGATGACAAATCCTTCTCGACTGTTCAACGTGGGAGTCGAACCCAAAAGGGGGATACTGTTATATCCATGCATGACTATGCCGGTATTAACCGGAATAGCTCTGACTTGACCCGGTCTTTCTGGTCACGGGTTTTTATGCAATGAAGCTTACTGAGTGTTTTCCGGTTAACCGTTATTGTCTTATTGTCTTATTGTCAATCTGGTTTCTCTTCTGGCCGTAAAGCTTCTTTCTGGCTGTTAGTCTATGCTCATCAGGTTCTATGCCATTTATGTACTATGCTTGCATTGTCTCTATTGTTGAGACTTCTCACTACTACATTAAGGATAACAATTAGACACTTTAGTATAAAAGACACTATAGCTACGTCTAGTACTTCAGTGAATTAATTAATGTTGCTTCCGACTCTCTTCGGTTGTAAACCGTGCTTCTATCTCTTTCCGGTGCATCTCGACTTTCCGGCCCTCCGGCACTCTGGTTATCTCTGTCCTTCCGAGGCAAGAGGTTAGGCCAGTGTTCACCCACACAGCCACTCCGGTTCCGTGGTGTAGCGCTAGCGGTACCACCTGGTTTCCATTCCGGTCTTCCGGTTCATTCTGGGATGAATATTACAGTACCTGTGGATGTTCCGTGATGCTGGACCACGGGTACCTGTGGATGTTCCATGGTCCGGCATCTGCGGGTTGGGCAACTCGTGCGAAGCTTTATCAGCGGTTATGTTGAGTTGCTTTTGGCGGAGGAGAGCCTCGCGGGCGGGGGTGCCTGGCACAGTGAAGCTATCGGCATTGCTTAAAATATTGGCAGAACTAGCTGGAGTGCAGAGATCTCCTGGATGGCTACATATATACTTCAAAGGGGGGACTATATCCCATGGGTGCTTAGCGCAATGGTAGCGTGTTTGGCTTCGATGCCACGTGACTTGCATTACGTAACATACCAAAAGGTTGCAGGTTCGAGTCCTGCAGTGCTCAATTCTTTTTTCTTCGTCCCTGTTCCTGAGATTGGAGACTTCAACTCTACCGCTATAAAGATCTTTACAACACCACCATTGATACAACTCATCTCCGCGAGAAGCCTGTATATCCGTCATGATTATGCCGACATGCCCGGGCCGATGTGCTGGTGAAGTCACCCGTGCGCGGCCCCTCCATGGACTTCACTGTGTTATATACACTGGAAGCGCTCAAAAGCACTCTTCCATTGCACTGCATGATTATTGATGGCGTCCGTAACCATTCATTAAAATGATACAAGATCACGCTGTCCGTCTGAGGCGTTAAAAACTCCAATAGATCCTTCCACAAGGCTGCGCCTTTGAAGCAGCCAGCTGCGTGCCGTGCGTCAGTACTGAATCTACAGCAGCAGCTGTCTACCTGGCTCGTCGAGCCCGCGCCGGGTTTGTCCGTATGCCACTCCGTCACGTGCACATTGACGAAAGTCGCCGCCGCCGCCGCCCGCGCGCGCGGCGCTTGCGAAGTACTTATCGCTTCAAGACTATGGGCTCAAAGCTAACCTGCGTGACTAACTGGGCGCCGGAGTCCCAGTCCGAGTCGACGCTATGTAGAATCTTGGTCGGACGCACCTGTAAAGTTGCGGACGCAATATTATCATAGTATCACCCTCCTTATCAGTATATTTACTATTCAAGTCAAAAATAGATACATTGTAAGACAGATACGATACGGCCCAAGAGGGCTGAGTACGATAAGCATGGATATGAATACGATGCAAACGCCAGGAACCTGCAATGTATCGTATTGATCCAAAACCTTGGCTGGAACTTGAAGGGTGGCTCCCCAAAAATTTCCGCCCGCGTCTCAGGCTACTAGTGCCTACAAGATTGAGATATTTATTGCAGCCTCGATGACCAGAATGATCCCCGTCGTCCCCAGAATGAACACGGTGCAGCGCAGCACGCGACCAACAGAACCTTCTCCCCGCAGTTTTTCGCCGAGCTCGAGAAAGGGTGTAAATCGCCAGAATGAGGAGGTTGATGTATATCCCTGCAGAGCCGATCAGGTGTGGACGTGCGAACGACCGGTGAAACGTGCATCCACCGTCAAGCATGAGCGCCAGCTACGCCAGTTGTTATTAAAACAATTCTTGGTCCATGTTCTTATGATATCACGTACGCCTTAGTCTGTTGCCACGATCGTGCCAGTCCATGCAAAATTATATTGGGTGGGATCGAGCGTGTCTGCGAGTGGCATTGAGATAACGAGGAGAATGGGGACTAATAGAAGTAGATGCATAGAGATAGTGTGGTTAAAAGTATCGCGTGCCGCTCCCGGGCCAAAATATGATCATGATCAAACAGCATGAATGCGTGCTGTGATACGAAAATATTCCCCGCCGACCGCCGGCGGCACCATGCAGGAGATTCCTATCCAATATCCAATTTTCTTACTCAAGCGCAGTCCTTTCACCTCCAACTTTGGTTCGATAATTTGTCATGTCTCTTTCTGTTCACCACGGTTGACCTGGAAAGAACAACTCAACAAGAGTGGGATGTCACGGACAATTTTGGGACTGGCAAGTGGGAGCGCAGAATCCGGCGCGGTCAGAAACCGCTTATGCCCTTTAAATACGTGCGCGCAGCTATCATGATCACTACAGCGTTCGGACGCATAGGCCCGGGCCCTGTTGATGGATATCTCCTAGTGTAGTCAACAGCTGGCAAGCTGTCTCCAGCCGTCTAACGGAGCCAAACGGAACTCGAGTGCAGTGTGTCTACCCGGGTTCAACTATTGGGACCCGGGTTTTGACACGTGTAGACGGTCATAGGTTCAAACGTCATACCCATTACCGTGTAGCCTCTGTGCCTGCCCTCGCAAGCTGATGAGCTTCATCACGCAAGAGTATATGACAGACGGCCGTCTACTTTGATTACGAAGAGGGGAGTGCAGCAGATTTACTCAAACACGACCGTGACAGGAATCCCATCCGAATGTCTGAGCCGCGGCCGTAACCGACACTTCTGCCCCACAGTGTCCCATGAGGATACCGAGGCTAAGCTGTCCGTCGCATTGCTCGATTTTATCGATAAATCGGAGCAGGCGGAAACCCATCGGCGAACAACGTACTGAGATTATCACGGTATGACAGAACATAGTTGTCGATCTAGCACAAAATTTCCGGTTTTTGCCGGCTAATGGATCGGCTATACATGTTCATTGAGAATGAATACAAGCCATAGATTGAAACAGCGTACGGAACATTTGTTATCTTGTGGCGTCTGGTGCTCCAGTTATTTCCAGGTTGAGTCCTTGGCGACCCAATTCGTACAGTTGGTCAAGCACGGGATGAAACATGTTCTCGTGATCGTTCGCATCACTCTCCCTGTCCTGCGCGAAGTCGAGCGAGACTGAGTTGAGTTTGGTCGTCCCTTCGACACCCCGCCATCTCGCAGAAACTACCGCAAATAGTGTATCAGCTGTCCTAGGCCGGCAATCTTCACAAGCCAGGGACTCCAGGGCGGGAAGACAACTGCCGGATATCATAGCGGCAAAGAAGCTATCCTCGTCATCATTCGACCAATCCCATGAAAGGGACAAGTGTCTGATAGTGGGGAGGCTGCGCAAAAGGTCGTACGCAGCATTAAAATCCAGGTAAATGAGGGCCACACTGCGAATTGTGGAGAGAGATCGAGCAACGCACGACTGTATCTCATGGACACCTGCATTAGAGAGGTACAAAAGTACTAGTCGCTCGAGAGCTGGCAGCATGAGGTATTGGAGGACCATGGTGGACGAGTCTTCCTCGCACACGAAGGTGTGCAGATACGGAAGCAAAATGGACAGAGAGACGACCTGTGTGTCTTCGGTGGCATACGCAAGCTGAAGATATTCGAGGTTCAGCGTGTATGGCAAAACCGCTAGCAGTTGGGTGATACTGAAGGGAAAGAGATGTAGTTTTGTCAACTTATTGAAAGGGAGCCCAAATTGGATCGCCCACGAAGAGTTACGAAGGCGTAGCTCGCGTAGTTGGGGTGCATGACGAAGTGAAGATACGGAGTTATCATTCGCTCGAAGATTGGAGAGTGTTAGACATTCGAGCAAAGGGAGGGAGCTAGGGAAGCGATCGATGGGGGTCGAGGGCCACATGACTGGCGAGGACAGGTGTATGCGCCGCCACTGCGAGCCGTACAGGATCAGAGTCGAAATGATCGTGTCCGTGGAAGAGACGTCTGCCGGAAGCTGTATGCTCAGATCCAACGGGAGGCTGCCTGCGCGCGGAAGGCAGGCCTCGAGCAGTTTACTGGCATCGCAAATGCCATCACAGGTAACGACTCCATCGTTCCAGAGTGCACACGTCGACAGCGTCACAGCCCTCCAGGTCTGGCAAACGCTCGCCAGTATTAGCAGACCATAATACGGCTGCAGTTTGGGATGATATTCTTGTCGCATCAGCGAGACGAAGTGCAAGAAGATGTCGACGGTGATTTCGTTGGGCAGCGTGAGGACGGGGTATTTGAGACTATCAAGGTCCGTCAAGAGCCGTTCCTTTTGCGCGCGCAAGGACATCATCTGTGACTCAAGCGCAGCCAGTGATCTGTCAATGTCATCGAGTTGCGCCCGAAGCGCCGCGGCAGCGGTGATCATGTCGAAAGACCAGCGAGCTGACCAGCGATGGCGAACAAAGAGTGACGGAGTTTGAAATTTGATGTGATGCTCGACTTGGTCACGCAATCTACCAAAAGGTTGCAGTTTTCTTCAAAATCCTTCTTTCCTTGAAAACTCATTGGACCGGCGCCAAATCGCCTGCATGTCTCAATCGAAGGAGAAGGTCTGCCTGATCGTGCACGATGGCTGGGGAATAGCGACGGAGCCAGGTCTTGAAGGCCACCACCAACACGGACACCATCGGCGAGGAGAACAGCCATCGCAGTTTGGCGGCGCACGGCACTGCTGTTGGGCTTAACGATGGGCTCATGGGCAACTCGGAAGTTGGGTAAGTCACTTTTCTTTCGTACACGTGGCTCGCGCTGTATGTCGCATGCAGCCACCTCAACATCGGCGCTGGGCGGATCGTCTGGCAGGACATCGTGCGCATCGACGTGTCCATCAAGAAACGCGAGTTTCACAAGAACAAGTCAATCCTCGAGAGCTTCAAACGCGCGAAGGACGGCAACGGGCGGCTGCACCTCCTCGGGCTCGTGCGTGGTTTCGCCCGTATCGCCCGTGAGCGCCCCTCACAGGATCCGCCTCGCAGGTTTCCGACGGCGGCGTGCACTCGCACATCACGCACCTCCACGCGCTACTCGAGACGGCGAAGGAGCAGGGCGTCCCGCACACGTACGTGCACTTCATCGGCGACGGGCGCGACACGGCGCCGCGCTCCGCTGCGGGTTACTGCCAGGACCTCCTCGACTTCATGAAGAAGGAGGAATACGGCACGCTTGCGACGGTGGTGGGCCGCTACTACGCGATGGACCGCGACAAGCGCTGGGAGCGCGTCAAGACTGCCGTGGACGGGCTCGTGGGCGGTGTAGGGGAAGCGGGCGAGGACGCAGTCGCGGCGATCAAGAAAAGCTACGAGGCGGATGTAACGGACGAGTTCCTCAAGCCGCTCATCGTGAACGGGGACGAGGGCCGCATCAAAGGTGCGTTGCTGCGCGCGCGGCCGCCAAATATGAATGCTCATTTGATGCAGACGACGACACGCTCTTCTTCTTCAACTACCGCTCGGACCGTATGCGCGAGATTGTCACCGTGTTTGGGCTGCCCGACAAGCCGATGGAGGTGGCCGTACCGAGTGGGCTCCATATCACGACGATGTCGAGATACAACACCGAGTTCTCGTTCCCCGTCGCATTCCCGCCGCAGGTGATGACGAACGTCCTGGCGGAATGGATCGCCGCGAAGGGCCTCAAGCAGTCGCACATTGCCGGTGTGTCGTCCCCCGTCCGCCCGGTGCCCCCTGACTGAGCTGTACAGAGACCGAAAAATACGCACACGTCACGTTCTTCTTC